CAAAGGTCTTCCAAACAGTTTAGTGCTTAGTGTTCATAGCACAACAATGCAACTTAATTCACAGGGTATTTTGGCAACTCTTAATCTGAGGAAGAATTGGGGCTTTGGAAAAATAAGGCTTTAATATTAAATGCTTGTTTTCTAGCTAAATTTTTATCGACTGTGAAAGTTCAGATTCTTAAGTTCAACCAAACTTTGAAATGACTGATTGGTTCAAAGTGGTTTCATGTAGAAACTTCTCTGTAACAAAAACTTGGCATTGAGTGCAAAGGCTCCACTGTTTTTGAGCAAAGCTTACAAAGGGTTCGGGGTTGGGTGGGTGGGGAAGGACGAGGGGCTCTGCTCTTTTACAACAGCAGGCATTTTCTCTTCCTTGTCTTGACAGGGAGTGGGCAGAGAATGGCTCTGGTGGCTTCATCAAACACTGTCTTGAGGCCTTACTGCGTGAGTGCAGAGCACTCCAGGTATTTGACAGCACCGAGCTCCTTGGCCATGGCTGGGGGTATGTGATGGGAATCAGTTTCTCCTTTGGCTTTTCAATTGTGTCCTTATCATCCCTCAGATCTGGCTTGGTTCCCACGAGGATGATGAGATTGTTGGGACAAAGGTGGGAGTGTTGGGGCAAAGGTGTCGCACCTCGGGGTACCACTTTGCCCCGACGTTTTCAAATGATGCAGGACTCACCAGGGAAAAGCAAATTAAGAACACATCTGTTAGTGGATAGGAGAGGGGGCGTAATTGATCGTAATCTTCTTGTCCAGCTGTATCCCATAAGCCCAGATACACGGGTTTTCCATCTACCGTAACATTGACAGAGTAGTTCTCAGACAGTGGTGATGGATTCTCCAGGAAATGCATTGGTTGTGTAACTGATCAATAGGGCAAGTTTTACCGACAGCTCCGTCTCCCACCACCACACACTTGATGGGCTGCATCTGGGCCGCCCACGGGGTGGCAAAGACATCGGCCCAGGGCGTGGCGGGTGCGCGGGGTGTCAGGTTCCGGGGCCGTCCACGCAGCCTCGCGTTCAGCTGACTGCGAGCCGGAGCCCAGCGGTAGCCACCACCCAAAAAGCTGGAGGAAAACTTCTCTGTTCAGCTTTTTTATTTCCTCATTTCTTCCATATGCTTCAGAATTTCTGGCTGAAGAGAAAATATAAGAGTCTCTTCTGATGTCCACTTTGGTCTTTTCCTTATTTCTTGTCTTCTTTTACATGAAGAATTGTAAAGGGGAAAAAATGACCTTTTACTGTCTTCCTGTATGACGTTCTTGATGTTATCCCATCTTATGCTCTTTGATCATCAGTGTCTAGTTCACCAAGTCTGTTCTTAAGATGATCTCTAAATTCAGGTGGAATATGTTAACAGTCATATTTTGGCTGTCATAGACTCCCATGACTTTAATTTTCTTCGGCTTCACCCTGAATTTGCATATGAGCAATTGATGATCTACTCCACAGCCTGTCCCTGACCTGGTTTGGGCTGATAATGACGTGGAAGTTTTCCACCTCTCTTCCAACTGATGTAGTCAGTTTTGATTTCTGTGTTCTGGTAAGATCCATGTGTTTAGTAGTCTTTTATGTTGTTTTAAAAAGATACTTACAGTGAATAGGTAATTCATCTTGCAAATAATTTCTATCACCAAGGCAGTATTCTCCAACTACTGATCCTTCATCTTTGTTTCCAACCTCTACATTCCAATCACTAGTAATTATCAATATATCTTGATTGCATGTTTGATTGATTGTGTACTGAAGAATTGGGTAGAATTCTTCAATTTCATCATCACTGGCTGTAGTGATTGGTGTGTAAATTTGAATAATAGCTTTATTAACTGGTCTCCCTGGTAGGCATATGGATGTTATCCTATCACAGATAGCATTACAATTCAAGATAGTTCTTGACTTTTTTTTGTGTTTGTGAATTGAGTGATAGTTTCCATGGGAAAACATCAGTTTTACACCATTGTTTCATTGCAATGATTATAATCTCCTTCGTGCATCATCATTCAACAGTATTTGCTTCTATTCCCTCTGGGATTTTTTTTTTCGGGGGGAGGAATATACACAAAAACACTCGAGTATATAATAATTTAAACAACCAAAGGGCACATTCTGCAAGCCTGCCTCCTGGCTGCCAGCACTGTCT